TTTCCCCCCCCCCCCTTACTAGGATCAGTGTTTTAAAATGAGAAATGTGTGTTGATTAACAAGTACAAACCCTTGTACAGTCAGTGTGCAGCCAGGCCTTGGGTGTGACTTCCTGAAGACACTTTCTGCTTCCTCCAATAAACTGTCAGCTTCTAAGCTACAGTATAAACAACATTTTGCAATCTGTATATGGTATGGTATACTTCGCTTAGTTTCAGTTTATCTGAACACTTCTGTCACCACAATGTAGTAAATGAGGGCAAAAGTACAGCTGAAAGTGCTTTGTAAAGGCAAAGCCAGTCTCAGCCTTGGATGCTCAGTAGACTGTAATCAGTCTGGAATTACATGAAGAAACATACAGCAATTGAGACTAAGGCCTAAATCCACAGAATAACACCTGCCATGGTCTGTCTCTTACCTGATTTCTCTTAGACTGGGATAGTCCCATGTGAAGTAGAGGACTGAATTAGCCCAGGCCTTTGTCAGGCTACTCAAATTCAGTTCCAACTTCTGTGCAGAGAAGGAACGCAGAAGAAACAGTAGTATATCCGTGGCCGATTTTAAAAGTGTTTGAAAAAATTCTATCCAGTCGATGCTGACAAGCACGGAGCGTGGAAAAGACAAGCTGATTTTTATTAAATCTTTTTCTTCAGGATAACTGGCTCTTATAGATATTGCAATTCTAAAATTAAATGACAGACAAATACAGTATCAACTTAAACCACAGAGACACATTATACAATTTAACCATGTTGTTGTTAAAGACCATGTTGAAGTCTAGAAACCACAATTCATGACAAATCTGAGATTGCTGGAAACAGTTACAGTTGATATTACAAAGATATGACAAAACAGAAATACTTAAACACTTAAAAAGTTGAATGTTATGTTAATTTTAGTGTTACATGTAGTATTTTTTTTTTAGGTGTATTGAAGCATTTACTAACAGAATTCAGTTTTGACAAACCCAGATGACAAACCCAACTTTTTTCTTTTCTTATTTATTTATTGCATTATTTACTTTATAGAGTTGCTTTATATTTGAAGTTCATTAATTATAAATTAAATTAATGGATCCTGATGAAAGAAGTTTATAACACTGATACTGTTCTTCAATTGTCTGATCTTCAATTGTTTACTACGGTAAGCCTGTTTTGAAGCTATTTCGTAAAAGGCACTTTATGAAAGAGATTGATTGGCTTTGTAGCCAGAATGTTAATTTTGCTTCAAAAATTCCTCATCAAAAGCTGAGTATTTTGGTACATTTTGCTCTTGGTCAATTGTTGCAGGTTTTAGATCATGGAGAATGTACATGTCAGATATTATAGATGTGAGGTTTTAGTCAAACTGATCAACGTACCTGTGTAAACATGAAAAAAAAAAAACTATTTAACTGGTTAATGTAATTGGTAAAAAATAAATAAAGATAATGAATCTGTTTAAGGTACATGTTGGGTAAATGTGAATGCTTCACCTGGACAGTTCTTCACAGATTTCCAGATAAAAGGTTTGAACAACATACTCCCAATAAATGAGTTCCACACTGCAAATAAAAGCATAAAAAATTGAATGAATAGTAATGACCTCATTTGAGTCAGTATTATCTTAAAAACCTTACCTCTGTGAGCTCAGGGTCTGTTCTCTCATTAAAACGTTCATCATGCCTCCCAAATCAGAATCTGACAATTCATGTGCATGAAACCTACAATATAAACTCCAAAATATCACTATACAAATCTAACACCAATAATCCAAAATAATTATTTCATAAGTAAATAATGAATTTAAAATAATTAATAATAATATAATAAAAAAAATCAACAATCTCAAAATACTTCAAAATGATACATTTTAATGTATTTCATAAAACAGACTGAGAAATGTAGCTTTATCTTTAAATTAAGACAGGGTCACTGTCATTTCCTGGAGTCTGCATTGCATAGCATTGTCTGCCCTCCACAGTTTGGTTGCTTGGAGACATGTTGGTTGGCAATGAGCAACTTCAAGGATAACAGTTGTATTGCCATGTTGTTTCCTTCAGGATTATGCATCATTCGGTGTTCTAATTCAATTCCGAAATTTGAATTTATTTAGGCATAAAATGCAGAATTGCAAGTGCCCCTATTATGGGTAATGAAAGGTTCGTATTTTGGTTTTGGGAGGCCCCAACAAAAGGCTGACATGCATGCAAGGTCAAAAAACACTTTCATTGTCTTATAATATGCATTTATTTTAACCTTACTTGCTCAACATCAAACCAAAATTTATTCAGACACCTTCAACATTTCTCACATTATCACAGTTTATTTGCTATAGTTTAGAAAATGGTTATAAAATATGACAAGAACTCAGAGTTAAACTCTGTCAGAACAAATTCATCATGATAATGTCAGATAACTTTGATAGAAAGGTATGCAATGGATTACAATCAACCAAAAATTCAGACAACTGTTAGTTACACAACTATCAATATTTTGTTGTCCAATTACCAAGCAATGCTTAATTTGGTTCAGTCTGTGGTGTAAAAAGGTCGCATTAGCAATTAAAGAAAAAACACTTAAGCAAAACATGGTCAGGTCAAAGTGTCTGAATAATTTTTGGTTCCAAATTGTTTATTAATTTTACGGGTTCATACAGTCCACTGTAGTCCACTGTATGAAGAATTTTTGGGTATAATATTTCACAGTTTACTTTATTTTGCTATACTCACATAAATGAACTATAGTGTCCTGCACCCATGTAAAAAATATCAAAAAATTATATCTGGTGTCTGAATAATTTTTGGTTTGACTGTAGATTAATTCTTGTTAAAACTACAAAGTAATTCAGTCAAGAGCAGTGAGTGATTTTCTTTCATTTTCTCGGATTAACATTAAGGACATTGACAGCAGCTAGTAGCTAAATTAGGCGCAGTCACTTTAAGAGACAATGCATCCATTATAATGATACACATCTGATTTCTTTCTCCACTGTTTACTTCCACTTAAGACATAACCGACAGTTTTTTTACAGGGTATTTTGACATAATTTTGTATGTATTTGTCGGTACAAGAGCAAGAAGAGGTACATTCGGTGTTCAAGTGCTTTGAGACGCGTCTCTCTGCATGTGCCCTGTGCGCACAGAACACCGCGCACGGGTGCTGAATTGGGCTTGTTCACATCTTTTTCTGTTTGCATGTTTAAACTGCAATTTGTATTTGTTCGTTCAGGTGCAGGAGGTTGGTTCGGTGTTGCTGTCCATGAGACGCGGCTCTCTGCGAGCGCTCCGAACACGGCGCGCGAGTACTCAGTTGAGTTTTTCCGCGTCTTGTGTTTGAATGCTTTAAACGCTTTTGAATGTTTAAATTGGCAAAGCTTAGAAACACTGCAAATGATAAGCTTTCGTGACCACCTTTCACCCCACTAGCGACGGCCCTGCCTGTAATGGCTGATAAAGCAGCGTTTGTGAGCTCAGTGCTGCTTTGTGTACATCGTTTCCAGGGAAACCGCTATTTTTACTGCTCCAAAAGCGGCACCTAGTGGCAAAGAATGAATTTGCATTTTCATTCAGACCAATGCGAAAAGACCAACAATTGTGCGGGCAATATGCTAATGTTTCATGTTGATGTCAACATGAAACGGCTAGGGATTTGCTTTAAAAACGACTCGTTTCAATGATTCAGAGTCGACTCTTTCTTTTGAGATTTATACAAGGCGCACTTTCAGATTTAAAACTTTGCAGGATATTTTCATTCACTTAGAGCTGCGTTACACACTGCATGAAATGTAATTTTCAAAAATCCATAATAGGGGCACTTTAAACAAGAAATTAACAAAGTTTTGAAAAAAAGTTTCAAAAGTTTTGCAGTTTGAAGTTTAAGGATTACGGACAGAGAGAAAGCTAAATTGTTAAAATGGAACAGACAGACAGACTTACTTTATTGAGAGAAATTTGTGGAGTACAGGTTGAATGATAACCAGCTCTTCGGATGTAAAGTTACAGCAAAGGATAAACAGGCCTTTAATACATTGGCAGCACTGAGCGCAGTACACCATGGACCAACAGTCTGTTTTTCTTATGAATGCATCGTGTAAAAAAACTCTTGGACAGGCTTCTGTAACTTCTTTCACAACGTCTTCTTCATGGAGCTCATACAGACAGTGGAATAAAAACAGAATCCTCTCAGAACAAGAATGAGACATCTCTTCAAAGATCCATTCCTTCAGATGGTCTTGTATGTTTGAATGAACGAACAAACCATGCCTTTTCCAAAGTGTGCGTCTTACGTCCTCATTCAACAGACCAAAAATAAAGTGCACTACAGCTGCAAAACGTGGTGCTGAATACTCTGTATTGATATTTGACTCATGAATGGAAAACATTTGCATGAGTTTCTTTTTTGACTCATATTCATCCATTAGGAGATAGTACAGAGCAGTGAAGAACTCCTGAAAGCTGAGATGTATGAAACTGAACATTGTCTCCTGATGGATTCTTTTCTTAAAAAGGAACTTGCACAAGAATGGACTTCCAGCAGGGTCGGAAACCATTTCATACACGGTCTTCTCATCAAACAGGACTTGCTGTGCCAGTATCCCTTTCTCTGCCAGCTGACCCAGACTCTTCACCAGGGTGGGAACGGATTGACCTGAACCCCGGCTGTGATGCTCTAGTAGAGTGCACAGAAAGTCAACATATATGGACGTGGTCGTCTCCAGTCCACTTGTAACATCTGCACCATCATTAAGCCTCTCTCGGATAACTGTGCAGATGATCCAGCAGATGACAGGGATGGAGCAGGCCGTGAGGAGAGTTTCATTTGATCTCACATACTCATACCCTTTCCTGAATAGTCTGTCATTCTGGAAGAACTTTTTGAAGTACTCCTCCACCCCCTTCTCAGAGAAGCCAATAATCTCAGTAAAACTGTGTGGTTCCTTCAGAACGTTCTTCAGGATGTCAATAGCTGTAGATCTGGTGGTGACAAGAAGGCATGACTCTCGCAGGATGCGTCCCCTTAACAGGGCGCAGAGAGTGACCTCAGGAGGGGCTTTCTGATACTGATTTGTGGGTGGCAACATGCGATAAAAGTCTTCTGTGTATTTAAGTTCATCGAATCCATCGACGAGGAAGAGCACTCGCTCTGGTGACCGCTGCAGTATTGTGGATATCTCATCTGATGTTAAAAAGCTATTGTAGCTCAGGAGCTCCACTAAACTAATTTCACTAGAAATGTGGCTAATTTCCTTACACTTTACATGGAAAACAACATCAAATTTGGTTCTGTAGAGATCACATGCCCAGTCCATTACAATTTTCTGGGCAGTGAAGGATTTTCCGTTCCCGGAGTTTCCCTGTAATATAACAGCACCAGGACTGATTCCTCGGCTATTTGGGTTGAACAGAGTGTCCAGACTGATGGATTCTTGAGAGCTTCTGGAACCGCGGACCTGCTGGAAAGTCTCTCCTCTGGAGGAGATCTCTTCTTCTAGCTCCTTCTGATCTCTCGGTTTCAGAATAATCAGAGGTTGTATGTAGCGATCAGACAGCAGCACATGCTCACCAGGCAGAGAGTTATACTCTGTCACATACTGGTACTCATTGCGTATCAGCTCCTTATATTTGAGAAGTATTGATCTTTCTGCAGAAAAAAAAAATGTCCAAAAGATAAGTATGCTTCACAACAATGTAATGATTTCTTGATCCTGTTTATGCATCTGTACTGAATTATGAAATTATTCAGAATTTGCAGGCACAATATTTGGCCAAGAGTGGACATCTTTCACTTTCCATCATATCGGAGAAAGTGATTCAAAAGAGTGGTAGCTGTTAGGGAGAACCAACCACCTAACAACAACCATGGTTTTGAAATTTTATGCTCAACAAGCACATACACTATAGGTGTTGTGATCCAAAAAATTCTGGTCATACAGTGTAATAGATAAAATATTCAAAGCCTCTTTGAAATGACAAGTAAAACCATCATTAATCATTTACCGTACCTAAGGTCTGTGTTCTCTCGTTTTGGGTGTTTGGGAAATGCCCAGTGACACCTGCAAAAGATTACAGATTCTTTCATGATATATTTAGATATGTTATATACACAGTATTTACAGTCACATATATAATAATCTAAAATAAATATGTTTTCTGAAAAAAAATCCTATATTATCAACATAAATAACAGACTTTACCAGGTGCATTATGTATGATCTGAACATTGCCTGTGATGTTATTATTAGAGAAAACAGGTGTTGTAATATGGCTTCCACTCTGAGCTGCAATGCTGACATTCAGGCCATCACGAGATCTGAGATGGTTCCTCATAGCCCTCTCAGGGAAGTTCATTTCGGTTATTTCTCCTAACCGACACTCGTTAACCGATTATTAACCGTTAACCGACAAGATAATGTTAAATTAGAATGAACTTAAATTAGAATGGATTAGTGTCTCTGAAAATAATAAAATTGGTTTTCCAGGGATTAATTTTACATGCGCAAAAAGCAGCAAACAACAGAACATGAGGATTCACATGGTCACATCACGAACAGTATAGCTTCTTATATTTTTCATTCATGTTCTGGTCTGAATACTCTTACATTGAAAGGATTTGTTGTTGAGTGAGGGGAACTAAAATAAACTATATCCTAGCTATGTTAGTAGTGTTTGTTTGTAAACATTTCACATATTTATTAGGCCTATTTCTGTTATTATCTACTATTATGTAATAATAAATTGAGTTGTATGCGACTTATGTTTCTTTCTCTCTCTCTCTCTCTCAAAAATGCAATTATATTTTATATGTATTTTATAGTATTTCAACCATGCAGCAATTTTTTTTTTTTAATATTTTGAAAAATTACCTTTACATTTTTAAATGACTTAAATTACTTTTTAAACCGTTTAACTGATTGTATTAATCAGTCAAAATTCCTACTGTCAGTTAACGGTTAACCGGTTAATATGAGCATTTTCCAACCACAAATATCTAAATGAAAAGAAGAAACAATGCAAGGTAAATAAAACTTGTTTTGGTTTATTTAAATTAAATTATATTGATATTATTGTGATGCTGGACCATCAATGAAATTAATAATACAAGCTTTGCACAGATAAGAGGCAGAAAACAGATTTCTTATAAAGATCTGATCACAGTAGACTTTACCATTAATTTACATTCATACACATGTAAACACAGAAAAGCTGAAATGTAAACTCTGATGTGAAACTGTTCATATCAAGTTTGACATACCGACATAACGGTCCGTTTTATTCTCTGTGAGAGAAAGCAAATTGAGAATACAGTTAAACTATTTACATGCACATAATTCACAGTTAAATACACAATATTTCCCTCTTAATATGAATATTGTAAGTTTATAACACAACCGATAGAAGTTCCAAATAAACTTTAATATAATCAACCAAATCTAATCCAACCTGAAAGTAACAGTAGCTATAGCTAGCAACAACCTTTTACATAGAACATATACTGCAATACAGGCATGGTATAATCCACAGTAGGTGTAGTGAAATAAGCCCTATTTTGTTAATAAAAGGTGCGGGGCGGCATTGACAAGAAGTTTCTGTCCTCCTGAATGTTTGTGTGCGTACGCAGTGCAATCTGTCTGTATGAGTGACTGTATTATATACTGTAGTATTTTTTGCAATTCTAAGAATGCAAACAACGGACTTACAAAGACCGGTCTTGCCAGGCTACCTTAAAAGAATGTACACGTTGTGAGATCTGAGATGTACTGTGAGCTTGTTGCTCAACTGACTGTCACTGCACATTTTAAGTATAGGGACTGCACCACCCAAAACACAAAAAATAACATCACAGATGTCACCTTTTAAAACACTGACTTGAATTAATTTTATATTATTTAGTACAGCATACTTTCTCTAGATCTTAATTCCTTTGCTGTTCTCTATTTACTTGACCGTTCACTTATGTTTGAACTTTATTAGTTAGGCTAGTAGTTTTTGCTGTGGTGTCAAAATTGTGAAATTTCATTTATATTTAAAATGCTGATGTCATAATAAGCTTATTTGTTCGAATACAAGGTTACACGAGTCAAAAAAAAAAAAATATATATATTGATACGAATAACATGTTATGGCAACTCCATTAACTGATCATAAAGGTATTTTGATTAAAACTAATATTTCTCACACTTCTAACACACTCATATTTCTAATAACACAACACTCACTGGAAAGACTGTATTATTGGGTAAAATGAAAAAATGAAGAGTTGTTTAGATGTAATTGGAAATTGTTGAATTTGAATTCTGAAAATATTTGACAAAATGTAGTAGTACATTAGCTAAAGCACAACGTCTCATGGAAGAGAAAGTTGTTCAAGAGATTTTATCTATTTCCAGTATTTCTAATGTTAATTTGTTGGATGGGCAGAGATTGCGCCTAACAGAGCCACAAAATAAACTTGACAATATGTCCAGAACACGAGCGCAGGGAGGCTTTATTTGGTCGAGACAAAAATGGTTAGCGTATGAAGAGCAGATACAAATTACTTATTTTTTTAAACTTGAAAAGTCTAGGGCTAAATTCAATTCTGAAATGAAAATGAATATTAATGGATGCTACAGATAAATTTGGCACGATTTCTAGTTTTTGTTAGCACTCTAATTTATACAAATCTACATTTAGTGAGCTTAATACGTCATCTTTTTGTAAACATCTAGAGAATGTAAATATAATTAGTCAAGAGGACAAAAAATTATCTGATTCTCCAATAACTATTGCTGAAATTAAGGAAGCTACTGAACGTTTGAAATGTAATAAATCACCCGGTAATGATGGAATTACTGCTGGATTTAATTAATATAAGCAGTTCTCTGAGATTCTTGCAGTTTCTTTTTTAAGTATATTCTGACATTTTAAAGGTGCTCTGAACTTCCTACAACTATGACACAAGGTGCAATCTGTAATTCCTAAGCCCAAGAAAGATGTATTGGTTAATTCAAGGGCCTGTCTGTTACCCAAAGGTTTAAATTAGTATTATATTCAATAATTGATGAAAAACAATCTGGATTTATGAGAAAAAAAAACATAGATTTAATAATATTAGACTTATTTTCGATCTTATTGATTATTCTGACCTTATTAAAGATGATAGTTTTATACCGCTTTCAGATATTTTTTTATAAAAAACTGGATATCATCAAGCATCCTTTTATTTTTTCCTGTTTAGAACACTTTGGGTTTGGACCTATTTCTGTAATGCCATGAAAACTGTTTATGCAGCCAGGCGGTAATAGTTCAGTGAAAATAAGTCAAGGCACCACGCAAAGATTTTATCTAAAAAGAGGTGCAAGGCAAGGTTGCCCAGTTTCTGTTTACCTTTATCTTATCATTGCTCAGGCATTCTGTCATTGTTTTAAATCAAGCAAGTTAGAAGGAATTCAAGTTGATGGGAGAAGTCCTGACAAGCCAGTTGGCTGATGACATGGCTTTTTTTTTTTTTTTTTTTAAATGCTTGTCAAATTCAGTCGGCTACTAAAATCATTGAATTTTTTTTCCAGTGCTTCAGGGGCCGGATTCACGAAAATCTTCTTAAGAGATAAGTTAAGAAATTTCTTATGATCATTTCCAAGAAGTTCATAATAATGTTCCTAAGTGCAATTCTTAAGAAGTTCTCAAATATGTTCTTAAGAAAATCTTATTTTTTTTCTTAAGAATAAAATGACAGTGATGATGAAATCACACTTCAAGAAATTCCAATCTATATGGCTATTTCCTAGAATGAACAGGAGAGAATCTCACTAAATGTTAATCCTGTGATTAAAAAAGTAAAGAGCAGATTTAATATTTGGTTACCGAGGGATTTATCTTTTAAAGGTTGTGCTCTGTTGGCTAAAGTGGAACGTATTTTATTTGGAACGCATGTTGCTTCCTCGATACACTCAGATAGTAAAATAAATCAGATAACTGATAAAAAAGCAGATTTTTGTGTACATAACATTAGAAAATCTGTATTAATTCATATAAAAATAGTGGTCTTGATTATTTAGATTTTTCTATCTTAAATAACACTTTAAAAATCAATTGGTTAAAGTATTTTTTGAAAAACCCTTCTTCTATATGGAATATAGCTAATATCTAAAACTGTTTTTGACCAACTTGGTAGTCTTTCATTTTTTGTTAATGTGTGATTACAAAATTTAAAATCTTACTTTTTAAAGTGTCAGCTTTTCATAGGCAAGCACTTTTGAGGTTCAAGTTCATTTACAAGTAAACTTTTTTAATTAATATTTTGTATAAACGCGAGTATATTTATGAAAACCTGGTTTGATAAAGGGATCCTTTTGGTATAGGGCAGCTGTTGAATTCTCAGGGGTATTTAATGACTTATGATGAATTTCTTTCACATTTTAATTTCCCTGTATCCCCAAAAGTTTTTATATGTATACCCTTGGCAATTTTGTTATGTAATTGTTGTTGAAGCATCATTAAAAAGAAAAATGTAAATGGTTGGTTGGGGGGCGATCTCTGTAAATCCGTAAATCTTTTTTTTGCCAGTGTAAATGTTGACAGGCAAGTAAAACATTTGAACCAGACTGGTAGAAAAAGCATAATTGAATATCAACAAAACAACAACAACAACATACAGCCATGATTTCTGCTTGAGTGGCATAACAGAACATGCAAGTGACTTGCAGACTGAGCCAAGTATGCAGCCAGTCTGACTCGTCTATACTTGAAAACAGACAACTAGATAAGTCACAACAAGTTCAGTTTTCTATGGCTATATCAGAAATCTGTGCAATTTTTTTAAAACCAGGACAGCAGGGCTGTAGCCAGGGTTTTAAAATTACCGAGGTCCCAAATCCCCGCCACCCCCACCCAAATTTAATTGAAAGGGGTCCTATTATGCTTTTTCAGTTTTTTAATTTTAGTCAGTGTGTAGTGTGTATGTTTGGGCATTAAAAAGATCTAGAAAGTTACAAATCTCAAAGTCCACTCCAAAGGGAGATATTTCGTTAGATAGTATTTTCATTTTCATCTTTGTCAGTGAACAAAGTAAACAAATGGTCTACTGATATTTATGTTTTATGAATCATTTTATTCAACAAGTTACTTTATTGAAGGCTACCAGGAAAGCTACGTAATTAAGTTTAATAAATTCACAATAGGCCTATGTGCCCATTCATTTTGAATCATATGCCTAATATATGATGAAAACGGCTTATATTGTTTCTTGTCCCCTCACATTAACGCTACATGAATCACGTCAATTCAAAATGGCGAAATTAGACAAGTTTATTAGTTTGCATTTCTGATTATTTTTGTCAGTCGTTTAAATTTTCTATCGCAAAACAGCTGTCAGATATGAAATGTTTGTCTACTTACATCTTATCCCGCACTTTATAGCCGCTAACTGAAGCGTCGCGTTGAAATTCGAGCTATGCAGCTTCTGTGAACATATAAAGCCCGCCTACTCTGATTTGATTGGTCATCTCAAATATTTTTTTACATTGACGAGCGGTGACTGTCTCCGTGACAGACGAACTGAGGCAGCTCAAATGAGGAGGCTTAAGTTGAATCTTGGTGCTGTGCGATATCTTTGCAGCAGGAAGGAAGAGTTAATACTATATTAGGAAATTATTTCAGAAAGTACACCTCGGAAAAATACTGAGGTCCGGACCTCGGTGACCTCATAGCTGGCTACGGGCATGCAGGACAGTTTAGGGATAAACTTACAGAGAGTCTGATTCTGGTGATGCTGAGAGAGGAACACACATTGAGCTCACGTATCTATCTTATCCACCTGATAACTAACAGACAACAAAAAAATAACTGATTATTTTTTTTTTTAAATAAATACACACAATACTGTTTTTGAACAAACTGTGTTTTAAAGAATTCTCTTTCAAGCCTGCATTTATTTGATCCAAAATAATGCAAAAGCAGTAATATTGTGAAATATCTTTTACTATTCAAAATAACTGCTTTCTATTTGAATATATTTTAAAATGTAATTTATTCCTGTGATCAAAGCTACATTTTCA